AATGTCTCAAGTTCATTCGGCACATCGATTTCCGACAATTGCCTGGTTGGGATGTTTTCACGTATATATAAAGCTATGCCTCCTCCTCGTTTGTTTTCCCTAGGTTTGCTATACAGTTTGTAATGTGGGAACCTAGGCAGGTAGAAATCTCTGGCACTACAGGATGTGATACAACTCTGCCTCTCCACAAATTCATACAGCTGAACCACTTTTGTAGCTCCATTTGATTAAAGCGGGTCTATGATCGGCTAGTCCTGGTTCGGAAGCAAATGATAGTTTTCCATTGAACCCATGACGATGTAGCACCTGTTGAGAGGTTTTCTGCCGTTGTTATAGTCAAACCATGACAATCGGTGGGGGTTTGCTCCCAGTCGTTGATTTCAGTGTTGGAGTCTTGCCACTTCCCTGGATGTTGTGAAGGAGTGGACATGGCTGAGGAAGCTTTCTTGACTTCAGTCTTTTGTGCCGAAGCTTGCCGTCCCTGGAGGAGGCGACACTCGTCATTTATCGATATTTGGACATCCTAGCTCAGCTGGCAACTTCCCTTCGGAAATTTGAAGAGGAAATGCCAGTAAGGAGGTGCAAATTACTTGTGTTGGTGGGTTTCAAGCATCCAGTGATCAAACTGCATGTTGTTTAAAGCTGGTTCAGGATTCATGGTATGGGCTGATCTATCCCAGACGGGGCACGCATACTCTGCTGGAGAATGATATGGAGCCAAAACGATTTATCTTAGGGTGTGTGGTTTGGCTCCCCGTTCGGAGGCTGTTCAATTTCTTTATGAGGGTGTTACGGGGAACTAAATTTGGATGACTTTAATGACAGGATGCGATGGAGGGTCACCCTAAGGTAGACAGGAAGGCTACAAGGGACCAAGGGGCCTGGTATTCCAGACCATTTGATGTTAAGGGGTCGGTTGGCTTCGCGGTTAACGTTCCTGAGATGGAACGACAGACTTGGGTCTTAGCGAGATTGGTACGGAGGTGATTGCGCATATAGAGACGGCTAAGTGTTGAGGTAGGTTTTGCTTCTATGGCTTCGAACGGAATCTTTTGAGATGTAACACAAAGATAATTTGTCTGCGCAGATGAAACGCTCAGTGTCCTAGTCTAAATTAAATTGTGATATTTTTATGTAGACGTTATACAGCAACGGAGCTAGCACAGTGCCTTGAGGTAGGCCGTTTTTTGCCGTCGACAGCGTTTTTGTTTTGTTCTGAGCAACAAAAAAATCATCTGTCTTTGAGAAGGGCTCCGGTATGATCCGTAAATGCGAGGTATTGGGACAACTCCAAGATCTTTTTCAGGAGGCGGCAGTGGTTTACAGTATTATATGTGACCGAAAGATCGACAAAAATGGCTCCACTTATTTGTCGTTTTGAAACCCATCCTCAGCGTGCTGTTCCAGATTAAGAGTTGGCTTGTTGTTGACTTGCAATGTCGCAATTATCAAGGTTACTGAGGGATAAGGGATGTTTCAGCAATGGGGACAAGCCTGTTTAGGATCAGGCACTCGAATATGAACAAAAGCAGTGATGGGTTCCTGTCTGAACCATGTTACCTGTGGTCTCCGAAGCCTGCAGTGAACTAGTTAATTTGGCTTCAAGAATCAAAATCAAATCGGTTTGTCCATCTTTTCGGGTAGAGTCGGTTTGTCCATCTTTTCAGTCGGGTCGGTTTCGGTTTTGCATTTTCATTTTCGGGTCGGGTCGGGTCGGTTTAGCCATCTTTTGAAAAAACCGAAATAAACCGAAACAGTTCAGAAATGTAGGTGATGCAATTTTATTGACAGTCACTGTGACTACAGCTCATTGTGTGGTGTGGCCACCGAGCGCACTATCAAGTTCCCAAGGTATTAATTTCTCCAGTCGGATCTGGACGGACTGACAGTGAAATAGATACATTGTAACAGTTTTCATGATACCGCCTGATGATACCAATGCGTTTATGTTCAATAAGCGGAGTTATCTCTCGATCAACCCACTGAGTATGACGGAGAGAGAGACGATGGTTTTGCAAAAGAATTCATGCCACGTGTGTAAGGTCAGGCACAAAAAAGTGATCACTTTGTCCAAGACAGGTATTCGGGTTTTTTTTTTTGGGGGGGGGGTTCGGGTCGGGTCGGCTTGGTCCGGTTTTACCTTATTTTTTGTCGGGTCGGGTCGGGTCGGTTTGAGAGAGTTAAGATCGGTTTCGGTTCGGATTCGGTTTATATCTATAATGTTTCGGGTCGGTTTGGCCTGGTCAACCCGACCCGATGCACATCATTATTTCGAACTACTAACGTTTATGACCGGGCAATATTTTGATCATCCCCCATGAATTCTGCCACCATACCACCACTATTTGCCGATAGAGATTTACACCACTGGTGTCAAATATTTCTCAATGACATCCAATATTGATGAGACAGGGAAAATAAACATTTAGAATAATTTAATGAGGACAGTGTTCTATGGTCAATGTTTACAATCGATATTTATTACGGATACAGTTCATTTATAAGAAGAAGAATAAACTTTTTATTCAAACGCTGTATAATATTATCAGATCCATTTTGATATTTAACAAAATGTACGCCTCGTTTAGAGATTTGCGATGAAAAACATCACTCCTTTTAAGGACTGATTTTTTTTTTGCGTAGCTAGGCCTATTGCAAACAAAACAAAATATACATTAAGTAAAACAACATTATGATCAAACACTTCCAGTAATAATATTTTGTTGTGCAGAAAAATATATATGCGCAGTCTTGATATATTTTTTCCGTTGTCAAATGGCTTGGCAATAAAAACAAAACAAACCAGGGCCATCAGAATTCATATTAAAGGACCGCCCATTTGTTTTATTTCAAGTGCACATCAATATCTTCTGTTGATCTAAAGACCAAAAATACAGCATTATACATAAAGTCTGAAATGAATACGTATATAGCTACCACTACAATGTGTTATAGATTCACATGTGAACAATTCCGTACAATCCAACGTACGTCCAACCACGTGATGCATTATGTACAAAGTCGTTAAGTGGTGGTGCCTTAGTTTGGTCTGGAATTGTTTTTTATGCATTGGATGTCACATTATTAGTGATGTATCACATTCACATTTCCAACAGCAGCTCATTTTTTTAAGTGTCTGACATGTACATCCGAATTTACGGAATTGCTCCCAAAAAAGTAACATTAGAAGTTAGGAAACCATTGGGTCCAGGCCTACATGTCAGCTTTGGAGAAAACACTCAAACCGTGTTTACACAAATAATTAATGTCCTCTGACTGATGTAGTTGTCCATGTAGACCTCATGCGTGCACTGGCTTTGTATTCGGTTTATTAGTGTGACGTCACTTCAGCTTTAAACCACGCCCACTGCACATGTTAGGTAGCATTGGAACAACCGGAACCGGAAGTTAATGCAACATGAGTGTTTATCCAATGGGCGCTGATCAGTAGTGCGCGCGCGTGTGCGAATACAAAGCCTCATAACCTGTAACGTAGCTTAAAAATAATGCTTTGGTATGGATTTATAACAAAACCGGGCGTCAACCAAACACAATCTGACATCGCAGTGACAAAGTATTCACTTCGGCCAAAACAAAAAAACATGTTTAGCGTCCCCGTGCGCTTCATTTCGGAGGCCGCCTCCTTTTTTTATTAAAATAAAACACCGAAGAAATGATATATTTTAAACGGTGACGTCATTGTGGCCTCTTGTCTGTTGCATCTAGGCCATATAAAGCTGGTATGTCATTTTTCTGAGTCCAGGTGGCGGCCATTAAAAGGACAAAAAAAAACCTGGTGGCCATCTTGAAAAAAATAGCCCGCCGGTCGTTTTGGAAAATGGGTCGGACGGCCATTTTGGGAAAAAAAGGGCCTCCTTCCTTTTTTTTTCAAAAAGGCAGGACGCTATAAACATGCTTTTTCATTTACTTGGCCTTACACAAAAACAATTGGCCACCTGAACAGTAAATGTTTAAGAAAAGAAAAGTTTGATACTCGTATTATCAGTTTTAAATATGTACATAATTATGTTGATGGTATAGGCTGATGAAGTGAAACAATCATGATATGACACGCGCAGTTTCCGCATCAAATATCTGGCTAAAAGACTGGCTGCAATAGGGGTATACATGATAAGAGTTATAATATATTGAAGACCGACCGTTTCAATCAGTTGGCCTCTGTCCACTCAAATAAATGCAGGATGGCCCGCAAAACTGTGTGCTAACAGATATCGTTAAATTGTTCAAAAAGTACCTAACATGAGTATGTCATTTTGATGAAGCATATTCATTATACTCTTGTGTATACATACTAATCAGTGAAAGTGTAATGGAAACCCATTTATGCAAACCAGAGCTGTAACCAATTATAAAAGGATATGTGTTTTTCAATCATTCCAATGGGTATTACAATGTGTTATGTCATTAACTGTGTAAATCACATTGGAACGGGTGAGAAGCACATTGCCATTAATAACCTGTTGTATTTCTGGTTTGCATGAATGGATTTTCATCAAAATTTCGCTGTGATTATACACAAAAGTACAAACAATATCCTCCATCAACATGAAACATTCAGAACTTTCTGAGAAATTTAAAGATGTCTACTTGCAATTTTTTGGGTCACCCTGGACATAAATGATGCGTCCATTTCAATTCTTGAGACTTTTCGCACTCATTTAGAATCAGTCGCATACAGCAATACACGTTTAAAGCTCTTTTGATAGCACAATATATAACGTTCTCATACAAAGTTGGATTAGGCCAAAAAAAAAAGTCTCCGGTTTCTGTTATGGAGCTTGCCCAAAAAGTGGTGCGGCGACGCGGCTTTCTTATTTTACCTGTCTTTTTTGCATCAAATGTCGGCTGATGACTGCAAATGGTGCCCGACTAAACTTAGTGCAAATATATTTTGGAGTCCGGAGAGGCCAATCTTATTTTCGATCATAACCCCATCTAAAAACACGTTAAAATTGTGCAGAAGCAGGATTCCAGTCAAACCAGTGAGTTTGACGGTTTTGAGACATCATCTTTTATTGAAAAAAAAAACTTTTTCATTTTGCCGACGCGCATGGCTACGGCGAAACCAGAAACCGGAGACTTTTTTTTGGCCTTAGCGAAGACATGTACAATCTGTAGCACAGTCTTTACAATGGCTAATTCGTTGAAAAAAGAGAAATACATGTATGTGTTCAGTTTACCGCGAATATCATATAATTACCTATTATTTCTATAGTTGGAAATTGGGTAACTTGAGTACGGATGATTTAGTTTTAAGTTAATGGATGACTATTGCGTCATTTCTCAGAATATTTCCCGCGTTTTCCATAATTATCGTGTCATATCGTGCGTCCGTACAAAAAAAATTGGAATTAATAGAATGTTCCGTTTCCTAGGTTTCTCACAATAACTGGTGACTTGGAGACTGACTCGAGCCAGATGACTTAAAATTTACATCATATACTCGTACCTGCTTATATTATACACCTGGACATGCGCATCATTATATCTCAGCGCAGACCCAGATTTGACATCTAGTCATCTTCAGGAGACTCGGAAGTCAACTCCACTTCCCCATGCCTCAGATATGTGCTTCTTATCTTCTTCGGTCAATGCACATCCGCCAAATTTCAGGCTACTAACATGTTTTATTTGTTTTAGACTGGGAGCCCATGTTTTTGCAGAGCCACTCAAAGAACAACTTCCCACCAGACTGAGGGATTCTACTGTTGGCATGCGACTTACTGCTGCAGCAAGGGGTTCAATGTCAGTGCTCTGCAATGAGCAGTGTGTTAATCTTAACTCCTTCAGGTGCGTAATGTTCTGTAAGGGTGGGGTCCATATATTCGCAGAACCACATATGTCTCTAACGATCAAACTGACTAAATCTCTCCGATTACTAAATGACTGTAAAATATCCGCCATATCCTTGCCGGTTAGTGAGAACCCCTTAATGATCAGTTGTATGCCATTACCACATGGCTGTACACGCATTTCCCCTAACTCACCACTGAAATCAAAATGCACAAGATTCCCCATGACACTCACTGATTTAGCGATGTATTTCAAATTGTAACTCATGCCCCAATGATCATCCCCCATATTACAGTCTGTCATATCAAGCTTTTTTAGGTGAATCATCAACGGTAAACTAGCCGCCCACGTTTGTGATGTCATCATACCACCCAAGTCATAATTGCCTTTCAGGTTAAGAACGGCCAGGTTTGGCATTTGACCTAATGCTGCAGCAAGGTGTTTAATATCAGTGCTTTGCAGTGAGCAATTTCTTAAACCCAACTCCCGAATCCCCGTCAGGTTTTGTAAAGGTATGGTCCAGATACCTGCAGAACCACCCGCACCATGAATGCCATCAAGTTTCAAACTGACTAAGTCTCTCCGATTACTGAATGACTCTAAAATACTCGCAAAGTCCTCACTGGTAAGTGATAACCACCCAATGATTAGTTGCATGCCACTGTCGTATGGCTGTACGCGAAACAGGTGAGTCTTCGTCTGCAAACTAGCCGCCCACGTTCCTGCGTTACCACCCAAGACCTTATTGCTTGAAAGGTTCAGATTGGCAAGGTTTGGCATCTTCCCGACCGATGATGCAATATGTGGTATATCTTCCGCATTCAAGTTACATGAAGTGAATGATAGTGCCTGGAGACTTTTGAGACCTTGCAATTTGAAAGCCCAATGTTTTGCAGTGCCGCCTAAACCAGTACCAGAAAGCGTTAGATGAGTCAAGTTGCCTGCCCTTTGAAGTGATAATAAAATGTCATCAAACTGGTAACCTGCTAGTCTGCATTTATCCAAACACAATGATGACAGATTTGTCATGGTTGTTAAACGCGAAGCTACGACTTTAGCTACTCTTGACAGGTCACACCCTGCAAATGTAATGTCGTGTATTTTAGCGAGGTATCCCGTGAGTTGTGTCTGATCGGCAACATGCTGCAGTAACCACATGCGCGACTTCAATGTATGATCACTTATGGACAAAGAACCACATCCAGTCAACCACGATTTGATGACATCTTCCGATATCACATGTGTTGCTTGACTTTCGAAGTAGCACTGTAAGGCCAACTCCTTCTCTTCCTTGCCTTTTGTATTTTTCCTATGCAGCATCAGCAATATTTGTCTGCAGCATTGCTTATTGTCGCCGCAGCAGAAGCGCAACAGATACTGAATATTACACGGGTCGTCAATTTGATCAAGAAGCTTCTGAAACTCCTCGTCTGATAAACTCTGGCAGTATTTAGCAGCGCAGAATGCTTGCATTGTCTTGTGACTAAACTGTATGCAGTCGTTGACAAATTTTTGACCAATAGGGACTCGTTGGCGAATAAGGAGACCTGCATCTAGGGCCTTCTCGAGAGCCTCATCCTCAAACTCTTCTTCTTGAAATGTAAACCTTTGCTGAAGGGAAACCAGACCCTCCAATGCAGTCTTACAAAGGGCAATCAGTACTCTGGATAATTCGTCCTGTGACATATCTGTCTGTCGTGTGAATATATATGTCATTGCCCTACTGTAAAGGTGTGACATTGTATCAGGTAGTGATGAATGTCTCGACAATGAACACAGCAAGGGCATCAGGTTTAAGCTCTTAGCCCAGTCGGAGAGGACATCTGAGGATTTGATTCTGTCAATGAGATCCTCAGCCTGACCAGGATTATCGAAGACAATATGAGTGACAGGCTCCTGGTCCATTGATTTGCTCATGAATGTCTGTATGTTAGAGGGACGTGTGGTTACAAGTATCCGTATTCCCTTTGTTGCCATCCTATTTAGGAGTTCAAGACAAGTATCAACTTTAGTTGTATTCCCAATGCTGTACGTGTACGGTAAGATATCAAACCCATCCCAGAGAACAAGTACTTTGTGAGGGTTGGTGTCAATAAATGACTTCAAGTCACCTCTGTCAATATATGTGTCTTGACCCAATAGTTGAGCGTAGATCAAGTCAACAAGGTGTAACTCTTTTTCAGTGACTGCAATTTGCAGGTCAGACTCTTGATCAATGGTTTGCGTTGGCAAGACAATAACAATTTCGAAGTTTTGGAGTGTAGGACTGGAGCCGGTTGCCCAATCATACGCAATGTTTTCCAAAATTATGGACTTTTGCTCATCATCTGGTCCAGTCAGAACGGCCAGTTTAATCGGATCGCCCTCCGGTGTTTTCTGGAGGAAAATATCTTCATATGATATTACCATTTTCTCTGTCTCATCGCCAGCCTCAACCAACGTTAGCTTTGGCATTAATATCTTCTTGGTGTCACCATCTACCCATTTGACCATTTGTGAATATGTACCTGTGGTCATATACAATGTCTTCATCTTTTCTTTGCATCTAACAGCAGCGAGTTCAGCTGGATCAGAACTGCTAGATAACGTTGCTGTGCTGCTTTCTCCCGGTTGTGTAAGCTGTACCTCTGTCATTTCGCTTGAGTCCTCTTCTTCTGTAAAAAAATAAGGTATTTGTCGAACTAGGTTAGCATTAATTGTTCAGCAAAACTTAGAAGAAAAGCAGTTTCTTTTCAAACAAGACTTGATATTGGATATAGTATTGGAAGTTTAAACAACCTGTGTTAATAGGTGTTTAGTTTAGTCTTTGTATTGGCCTTATTTTAACTACAGGATTCTGATTTTGTAGGAGGAAAATAACATCTCTGGTTTGCATTGATGGATTGTCTTGACATTCTCAAGGGCGGATCGGAGGGGGGGGGGGGGGGAGTGCCAAAGGGGGCCTTGGCCCCCCCAAAACACGAAACCAATTTGTTTTTATGTGACGTCGCAATAAAGGCAGGCAATGAGAACACCACCATCTTTTCCTCAAAAACATTGGCTAAAGTGGTTAGAAATTGCCTCAGATCGCACCACAGAGCATCGAGACCAAAAAATTCGGGGCCCGTAAGCGGGCCCCGAACCCCACAGCGTAATCTTTTGACCCACTTTTTGGGAGACACAATTTGTTTTTGGTCCCCCCCCCAAAAAAAAAATATTGCTCTTGATCCGCCCTTGGACATTCTTACCAAAAATAAACAAGCCCAGTATTTAAAATAAAATAAAATTTTATCAGCTAGTATGATCTCCTTTTGAGCCAATCAGCGACTTCTTCATGCACAATGTTTATTGGCACACGCTGTATTACATTGCAGGCAGACCGTATCAGTTGATCAGTTGGCATCTGTCCACTCAAAGAAATACAGGTTGAATCCCCCAAACAATTGTGCAAGCAGATATCGTGGATATATTTTTTTTTCAAAAGGTAACTACCATGAGTATCTCATTTTGATGGACCATATTAAAAGTACACTTGTGTATACTAATAAGTGAAAATGAAATGGAAACGCATTCATGTAAACCAGAGCTGTAACAGCTTATAAAAGGATATGTGATTTTGTCAACCATTCCAATGGGAATTACCATATCTCATTTCATTAACTGTGTAAATCACATTGGAACGGCTGGAAAGCACATTGCCATTGATAATCTGTTGTATCTCTGGTTTGCATGAAAGGATATTCATCAAATATTTGCGGTGATTATACACAAGAGTCAAGTCTGTCCCGAGCCTGTATGGCTCATCAGGCCGTCGTTTATCTCCGGTTTGAGTGGCATGAAACGACTGAGAATATTTATATTCCCCCTGGACAGGATGCCAGTCCATCGCAGGTTACTCCCCAGCTAATGCAGAGAGGCAATTGGGGATAAAGTGCCTTGCCCAAGGACACAACGTATGGCCTGCAGCCGGATTCGAACCTCTGACCCTCTGATCATGAGTCACGTACCCTTACCGCTAGGCCACACTTCCCCTACACAAGAGTACAAACAATATACTCCATCAACATGAAATGCTCAGTACTTTTTGAGACATTTAAACATGTCTGCCTGCACAACTTTTTTTGGAGTCACCCTGTACATAAATGATATGTCCATTTTAATCCTTGAGACTTTTCGCAGTCATTTAGAATCAGTCGCATACAACAATACACGTTTATGATAAGCACTTTTGATGACACCATATCGGTATATAACGTTCAGTTCGAGTTCTCATACAAAGTTGGGCTAAGCAAAGACATGTACAAGTTGTAAACAATATTACACATTTTGAAGATAAATCCTAAGGTTTCCAACTGATTGAATGATGTCATACTCTCACTTTTCCACATAATAATTATAAAATGCATGTATCCAATCTGTAGCAAAGTCTAAATACCCTGGCTAATTCGTACAACTATTTGAAAAGAGAAATACGTGTTCTGTTTACTGCGAATACCATATAGTTACCTATTATTTCTATAGTTGGTAATTGGGTAGCTTGCTTACAAGTGATTTAGTTTTAAGTTAATGGATAAATAATGCGTCATTTCTCCGAAAATTTCCCGAGTGTTTTTCTATTATCGTGTAATATCATTCATACAAAATGACTGGATTTAAAAGAATGTTCCGTTTCCTACGTTTCTCACAAAAAGTGGGGACTTTCAGATTGACTCGAACAAAATGACTTGAAAATTGCATCACATAATGGCATGCGCATCATCACATATCTCAGCGCAAACCCACATTTGAGATCTTGTCATGTTTAGGAGACTCAAAGGAGACCCCATGCCTCAGATGAACATTTTCTTATCTTCTTCTGTCAATGCACATCCACCCAATTTCAGGCTACCAACGTATTTCAGTTGATTCAGACTGGGAGCCAATACTTTTGCACAACCACTCAAAGAATCTTTTCCCGCCAGGCTGAGGGATCCTACTCTTGGCATTTCACTTACTGATGCAGCAATGTGTACACTGTCATGTAACTGAAGTGAGCAGTTAGTTCATCAACTCCTTCAGGTGCGTTAGGTTTTGTAAGGATGGGGCCTAAAAGTTTGCAAAAAACTTAAACCACCGACGCCACCAACGATCAAAGTGACACAAATCTCTCCTATTACTAAATGACTGTAAACATTCCGCCAAATCATCATAGCCGCTTAATTTGTGTAAGAGCCTCTTAATGATCAGTCGTATGCCATTACCACATGGCTGTACGCGCATCTCCTCGTTGTAACCACTGAAATTAAAAGGCACCAGATTCCCCATGACACTCACTGATCTGACGATGTATTTAAAATCGTAAGAGATCTGCGTCAGACTCTTAAAGTATGCCAAACACGTTTTTGAGGTCAATCATCAATGGCAAACTAGCCACTCACGTTTTTTCTGTCATACCACCCAAGTCTCTACTGCCACTAAGGTAAAGCTCGGCCAAACTTTGCATTTCCCCAACTGATGAAGCAATATGTTGTATATCTTGTTCATTGATGCCACATTCCGATAAATCTAGTGATTTTAGGTGAATTATCATTTTTAAACAAGCCGCCCACGTTCCGGCGTTACCACCCAAGACTGAATTATGCGAAAGGTTAAGATCGGCCAGGTTTGGCATTTGACCTAATGGTGCAGCAAGGTGTTCAATATCAATGTTATGCAGTGAGAAATTTCGTAAACCCAACCCCCGAAGCCCCGCCAGGTTTTGTAAGGGTACGATCCAGGTACCCGAAGAACCGCCAATACCAAGAATGTCATCAAATGTCAAAATGACTAAGTCTCTCCGATTACTGAATGACTCTAAAATACTCACTCAGTCCTCGCCGGTAAGTTATAACCGCTTAATGCTTAGTTGCATGCCACTGTCGTATGGATGTACGCGAAACACATGCAAGGAACCACTGAATACACTTTTTTCTAGATTTCCCATGCGACTCACTGATTCAGCGATATATTTTACATCGTGGCCGTGAATGTTACTTAATGTCATATTGAGCTTTTTTAGGTAAGTCATCGACTGCAAACTAGCCGCCAATGTTCCAGCGTTACCACCCAAGTTCACATTCTGTGAAAGGCTAAGATCGGCCAGGTTTTGCATAAGGGAATAAATGTGTGCTCCGGAGGTTTTTATCACTCTGTTTAATACCACTTAGAGTCTGGGTGCTGATAATTACCCGAGCCTCCGGCTCGGGTAATTATCAGCACCCAGACTCTAAGTGGTATTAAACAGAGTGATAAATAACGACGGAGTACATATTTATTCCCATTCATAAATACCTTTTCGGTAAAAAAAAAATCATATAATTCGTTCAAAACATCCCGATTTTGTTCAACAAATTCACTTTATGCTTTTTGAATCATCCCTCCTGCAAAATAATGGAGTGTTCAGCTGGCGAGTAAGATGAAAACAACCCTTTTATGGAGATTGACGCGCGCGTATCATGTTCTATGCGATGTCGCGCAGAACGCACCTGGCGCGTTGCGTTTTGAATTTAGAACTATAAAATTCTAACTCCCTGGTAATGTTGCGCATGCCTACGTGAGGATTGTGAACGTTCAACCAATGAAACGATAAGAGGCACTGGATTTTTAGGAGTCCACATTTTATTGTGACACTGGAAAAGTGTTTAAGACCAGCTAGCCATGTCTTTATCATCCGTTTAATACCGGCCACGTGACAGGCTCTCGACCAATAGGAATGGCTAAACTGTCTGAGGTATTTATGAATTTGACCTAATGTTGCAGCAAGGTGTTTAATATCAGTGCTTTGCAATGAACAATTACTTAAACCCAACTCCCGAAGCCCCGCCAGGTTTTGTAAGGGTACGGTCCTGGTACCCGAAGAACTGCCAATACCATGAATGTCATCAAGTGTCAAAAATGACTAAATCTCTCCGATTACTGAATGACTCTAAAATACTCACACAGTCCTCGCCGGTAAGTGATAACCGCTTAATGCTTAGTTGCATGCCACTGTCGTATGGCTGTACGCGAAACACACCCAAGGAACCACTGAATACACTTGTTTCCAGATTGTTCATGCTACCCACTGATTCAGCGATATATTTTACATCGTGACCTTGGATGTTACACATTGTCATATTGCGCTTTTTAGGCGAGTCATCGACTTCAAACTAGGCGCCCACGTTCCGGCGTTATCACCCAATCCCTCAAGACCTGAAGGGCTAAGATTGGCAAGGTTTGGTATCTTCCCGACCGATGATGCAATATGTGGTATATCTTCCGCGTTCAAGTTACATAAAGGGAATGATAAGTGTCTAGAGTCTTTTGAGACATTGCAATTTGACAGCCCAAACGTTTGCAGTGCCACCTAAATCAATGTCAGATTGCGTTAGATGAGTCAAGTAGCCTGCCCTTTAAAGTGATAACAAAATGTGATCTAACTGGTAACCTGCTAGTCTGCATTTATCCAAACTCCATGAAGACATATTTGTCATGGTTGTTAAACGCGAAGCTACGACGTCACATAATCTTGACAGGTCACACCGAAAAAAAGAAGCCTCTTGTATTACAGCGAGGTATCGCGAGAGCCCTGTCTGCCCGGCAACATGCTGCAGCAACCACATGCGCGACTTCAATTTATGATCACTTATGGACAGAAAACTACATTCATCCAACCACGACTTAATGACATTTTCTGATATCACATGTCACCTGACTTTCAAAGTAGCAATCTAAGGCCAGTTTCTTAATAGACTTCCTGTGAAGCCTCAACAAAATATGTCTGCAGCAATTGCTCATTGTCGCCGCAGCAGAAGATAAACTCTGCCAGTATTTAGCAGCACAGAATGCTCGGATTGTCTTGTGACTAAACTGTATGCAGTCGCTGAATTTTTCTTGACCAATAGGGACTCGTTGGCGAATAAGGAGACCTGCATCTTGGGCCTTCTCGAGAGCCTCATCTTCAAACTCTTCTTCTTGAAATGTAAATCTTTGCTTAGGGGAAACCAGACCCTCCAATGCAGTCTTACCAAGGGCAATCAGTACTTCGGATATGTTTTTCTTGTGTTATATCTGTCTGTCGTGTGAATATGTATGTCATTGCTCTACTGTATAGGCGTGACATTGTATCAGGTAGTGCTGAATGTCTCGACAATGAACACAAGGGCATCAGGTTTAAGCTCTTAGCCCAGTCGGAGAGGACATCTGAGGATTTGATTCTGTCAATGAAATCCTCAACCTGACCAGGTGTATCAAAGAAAAATGCTTTCACATAATCTTCCATCTCTACCTGAGCGATCTCTGAAGCTGTCACATGAGTGACAGGCTCCTGGATTATTGATTTGCTCATGAATGTCTGTATGTTAGAGGGACACGTGCTTACAAGCACCCGTATTCCCTTTGCTGACATCCGATTGATGAGTTTGAGGACAGAACTAACTTTGTTCTCATCAAGATTGCTGATTAACTTATCAAACCCATCCCAGAGGACAAGCACTTTGTGAGGGTTGGTGTCAATGAATAACTCCAAGTCACCTCTGTCAATATCTGAGTCTTGACCTATCAGTTGAGCATGGATCGAGTCAATAAGGTCAGACTCTTGCTCCTTGACGTCCATTTGCAAGATAGTAACATGTTTGCAAGATAGTAACATGAGTGGAGTTAGTTGCCCAATCGTACGCAATGTTTTCCACAAGAATAGACTTTTGATCTTTATCTGTCTCAGTCAAAATGGCCAATTTAATCGGATTGCCTTCTGGTGTTTTCTGGAGGAAAATATCTTCATATAATATAATCCTTTCATCTTTCTTATCGCCAGCTTGAAACAACGTTAGCTTTGACATTAAAATCTTCTTGCTGTCACCATCTACCAATTTAAGTAATTGTGAATATCTACCTGTTGTCATAAACAATGTCTTGAGCTTTTCGTTGCATCTGTCAGCAGCGTGTTCAGCTGGATCGCCACTGTAAGCCGACGTTGTGGTGCTGCTTTCGTTTAGTTGTGTATGATGTACCTCTGCCATGCCGCTTGAGTCCTCTTCATCTGTAACAAAAGTAAATATCCGGCAATCGAAGCATTAATGTAAAAACATAACTTCATGAAAATAGGTACTTGAATAGCACTTATTATTCTAAGTATTCGGCTACCTTTCTGTTGGTCTCTTTCCAAATTGTCAAAGAATCTGCAGGCCTGTTCGTAGTCGCTTTGCAGTACAGTCGCCTGGATGGCCAAATCACTCTTATCTTCTGTTATCAGTTCATCCGTGAGGATGATCTCTGTCAGTTTCCTGGCGAGTTCTCCAGTGGTGTACATACTCCAGAGTTTGTTCAGACCCTCCCGGCTCAAGATGCGAACAACAAATGTCACAGACCCAGATTTTACTTGCTCAAGCTCTATGCCGTATGGTTTTAGACAAGCAGAGACCTGCTCAAGTAGGTAATCCGATCCGTGTGTTTTACATAAATTGGTCATGGCGGTCCAGAGAATATCAGTCATACCACTGTCCTTGCAACCCTGCCTTGTTACGTCCGTTTCTATAGACACTTTGGGGAACTCTGAAAAATAAAAAAATCACGTGAAACCTCAAAATCAAGGGGAAGTCGATTTTACAATAGCTAATTAATAAGTTCAACTTTGAATCTCGGCCGAAAGACTTAAAATATCACTTGATTTTTAATATTATTTACACTTTTATGAACATGCCGTGGCCACCGTATAAATTATACCTACCTGGACTTTTTCCTGTGACATTCACATTTTGAATGAAATTCACAGTAGTGTTGGTAACAGGAGCAAGAAAGATAGGATCGTAGCTACCGCCGACATTGAGATCCACTGAAACTTGTTTTGACCCATTAGACCCGTATTTCTGTACCGCAGATACTGATGATGTGCTTCTCTGAGGTGCTGATGAGGCTAAGCTTTCTGAATTTGAGCTTGAAACCTGACTGTGTTTCATTTGCTCAGGTGATACCAAATTCGTCCCGCCAGCCAATTGCTGTTTCTGAGACTGATGTCCGGTTGGACCGCCAGTCTCCTGTCTAAGTCTCTCTTGTTCAGGTGATGACATCGCATGGCGATTGTTTTGTTCCATTTCTTCTACTGCTAGCGTCGTCAAAGGCTGAGTTATACGTACATACTCAACCGACTCATGTAGTCTCTGCCCGGGTGGTATCGTTGCCAGATGTTTAGGACTGTGTATATGTGAATCATCGCCTTGCTCTAATTCGGGAGTTGCACGGGTCCTTGTCATATGCTTTTCCTCTGAGCAAGATTGTAATTCAGCAGAATCTATCATCCGTTCTGATGATGTTGATACAGTGACGTCTACCAGCTGCTGTTCCACTTGTCCGTGTTGGGCACCAATCTGCCTCTCCCCGAGTACCAGTTGATCCAATGATGCTGCTGAGGGGGGCTTGCTGCTTGGATCTTTGAACTCACCAACTGGACGTGTCTCAGGCTGGGACATATCTGGTTTGCCAGTCTCCTGCTCCATTCTGGTTCTATCCGATAATGTCTTCTCAACTGCTATCATCTCGGTGACTTCTTGCTCCTCTTGCTTAGATGTCTTATGATCTGCAGCCGCTGCCGCTGACGTGGCGAAATTGTCACTCCCTCGGTTGCCTAGATCTTGATATGAAATGTCAATTGGATATGAGGAGAGTAACTCAAACTGAATTTGGCAAATGGGAGTGTCTATAGTGTGTCGAAATAAAATATTTTGCGTACAGGAGTTGAGCAATAGGTTAAAAGCAGTGAATGAAGATTGTAATAACTGTTGAGCATTGACCTTATTCGGGGAACATAAGTCATTGGTCCCAAGTATATGTAAACAGAAATAAAAAGGTAATCGTATAGATGGTGGCAAATATATAACTCTGTTACTGGTCATATACTATGTTACTTGTAATTGGACATGTCATAGACTCGACTTTAAAATTGTTAATTTCCGGTAATACAAATGAAACTTGATTTTTGTTGGTATTGATTTATTGCAATTGCTCATTTAGATTACCTGGTACTTTCAGCGCCAAATCAGCCAAACCCGAGGCCTCCAATGCTTCTCTCAGCTTCTGAGATGCTTCCCTGCTCTTCTTCTGCTTGCTCCACCAAGTAAATAGCATCGCCTTGCCCTGTTCCTTGGAGTCATCTTCGTTCTTAGCTTGAATTTCACCAATGTCTGCTTCTTCAAATTCCAGGTTTTTGGCCACTTCCTTCCAAGCCGACTCAATTTTTGTGGCGATATCCCAGAGAAACTGATCAAATTGTGCCCTTTCTGCAAAAAAAAAAAAAAAGTGACAGAACCACAATGTCGTAATTTCTTTCCTGTCAAGTAACTAACAAGTTGGACTCGGGAAAGAAATAACAATCCAATGAAACAGTCCCAAGGCAAATGAGTCGAATTCCGGCTTCTATTTGGCCTGACACATTTCATGGTCAAAATTGACATATTTCGGGGTCAAAATTATACTTTAGCCTGGATTCCTGGGTCAAATTGACCCCGCAAAGATGACAGAAAAGTGCAAATTTTGACCTGGGGAAGTGTCAAGCCTCACAGAAGCCGGACTCTGATCAATATCATCCGGGACTTTTAGAGTGCACCGATATAGGTATGGTGCAGTATCTAAAGACGGCGTCAGTCCCAGTTTCTTGGTAGTGATGACAGTTATTCTTGTCCTTGAGGTTTTTAATGTTACACAAGGTCAGCGGAAAAGGCCGGACAGTTAAACACACGTGCATTATCCAAGCATATTTGAATAAAGACATTAATTTACCATCTGCGTGCTTGAGCCACTCTTTCATTCTGTTAGACTTTACCTTTTGGTCCACCGCCTAGTAAACCATCAAAGGATAGACGAAGTGAGATGTTCTCGTCTTTCTCGATGCCATTATCTTCAAGCGTCAACAAGTCACAAAGCTGTAATAAATGTAAAAGAAAAAGAAACGACTTCTGATTTCGTGACATTTTCCTATGGATTTGTTTGGATTGTACACATACCCGAAATTATTTAATACACAGTGTTTGAATGACTAATTTCCTCACCATTCATTCTGTTCTGTTGAATAAACCGTACCCTTAAATCAACCGAAAATACCTCTTACAAGTCCCAATTATTTCAGTCATAAAAACAAAAATGGAAACGATCAGCTAATCAACATAATCCCAATATCAAGGTTAGTTCTGCATGTGCACACAATATAAGACCAGGGAAAAAACATCCGGGCTTTTTTTGAGAAAAAAGGAATATAGGAGGATTTTCGAAAATGACGGAAAGATTCGTCCATTTTCTCGTCTCGGTTGGTACAACTTTGTGTCTAAAGGAGCCGTGCATCGTTCTGTGTATCATATAGTATACATAGCTACATTGTGCTGGAAATATATGAAATGAAATTACTTAAAACAAAACAAAACAAAACAAATAGCAATGTATAAAGGAGGCTGGTAAGAAAACGGAAGCAGACAGGGACGGGAAACTGTTCAATGCTTCTAGTTGTCCTAAATGAAAATGTTGCGTAAAATAACTTTTACCTGAAAGTTTCTCCTGAAGTACAGCCGCTGATATCGTGCCTCAACACCGATCTTCGTTTGTATCCTTTCCTTCAAACTTGAGATGGAAGTCCCCGGATCGAGACGGAAGCAAAGCGTCTTCGGTGTATGTAAAAGGGGGGTCCGTACAAATATTTGCAGCTTCTGTTTCCCGGCATGGCTGTAAAAATAGAATAGGGAAAATGTTGGATTGCTGGTGTAGGTTAGGAAAATATTTGTCCTTCAAAATGATTAATGAGGGGAATTCAAGTTGCGCTTAGTCAAAGAAACAGCCAATATTCATTTTCATTAGCCCTATTAAAATCGATGCACGATATTCAATTTGCGATATCCCTTATTACTGCAATATCGTCTATTGAATAAATGCATCATTGATGATTACCTCCGGCTTTTATTTGTGCACCTCAATTGTCGTGAAATCCGTCGTTTTGATGATCTTCTCTTTGCACAGCAATCATCCGAAGACGTTTTCCCGTAATGCAGTACAGACAGGAAAGCTTGTTTCCTCCTTGGTTTGACTTTAGTCTTCCTGCTGATGAGCTTGGTGTTGGAGTGGTCGTACACGACGGCTGTTGCCTTAATGTATGCATCCAACTGCTGAGCGGTCTTTCGCGGCATCTTCGTAGCAATCAGTTCGAAGAACGATAATACACTCTTCTAAGGAAGAAATACAGTAAACTGCAGTAAAATAATTTACCCTGGAAGATATTTTCAATGTTCAAATTGCCATTCATTACTTTCATTATTTTAACAATCTGCTACCGGATCAATTAAGTTCTCCTTCATATTTTCCTGTAAATCCGGATTTTCAGCCTTTTACTACAAGACAAGATAATCTTATCCGTACTTCTGATATTTGTAAAGTGAATGTTGTCTCTTCCAATTATCGTAAACAACTACCTGAAATTGTTAACTCCTTTCCTGTTAGTCCGATAAATGAATTTACCGGTGTATCCAGGATGCTTTTGCTTAGTCATCTTAAAGAGGTTTATCTGGACAAATATAAAGATTTTGCAGCAGGACATTAATACCTCTTTCTTTTTTTCCAAAAATATTATTATTATTTGTAGACTTAGGGATAACATCTTATTTATTATAATGCATTTTCACATGCAGTAGTACTGTTTCATACAATGTATCAACTGCAGTCTGGGTACTCCACTACAGGAGGGTTATACCTCCTCAGGATGTTACCCTCATTTGTACCTTATTACAATGTATTGATTTTCTAACAATTACTTTGGTTGTTATACTTACAGGTTTATAGTATAGATGGAAATAAAACAAACAAACAAACAAACAAACAAACAAACAAACAAACAAACACCCCAACACCCCAACAAACAAACAAACAAACAAACAAACAAACAAACAAACAAACAAACAAACAAACAAACAAACAAACAAACAAACAAACAAACACCCCCAACAAACAACCCAACAACCCAACAAACAAACTGTTCAGGATCAAACGACTCTTTTTTTTTTATCATTTCATGGGTCATTGTCCCTTGTGGAAAGTGTCGTGTAAATTGCAAGTCATCCCTTATCTTAAGTCATGTCGCAATTATTAATATTAAACCGTAATAAAACATTTTTTTTTTAATGTTCCTTTACTAGTGGGATGACCTGTACCGTTCAAGCAATTAAATGTCTGCCTACTTAAACAAGGGGCAACATTTGTAAGTAAAAACGTGTTGTAGATTAATAACAATGTTTGACAATGAAAGAATCCCACAGGATTGGACCAAGGAATATTTACCGGGGGGGGGGGGGTAGGCCCGTGAGATTTGTTTTTGTTATGTCCCAGAGGCGTCAGAAGGACATTTGTTTTGGGGGTCAAAAGTTCGTGAAAATCACTGCTAAAATTTAGAAGTTTTCTTCCATCCGGACAAAGTCAAAATGTTGGGATGGGGGTGGGGGTGGGGGCTGGTACCATATTGCAATGGGGGAATAGGCTCGTTCAAAAAGGTGGATCATGCACAATATTGAACATCCACCATACCCCCCCCCCCCCCCCCAACCCACCACCCGGCTACGCCTCTCTGTCCGATTGTTGCGGACAGGTGGACATAGGCAATTATTCTTACCATTATTATCATCATCTTTTTTTCTGGGTTGTCGGTCGGGGGGGGGGGGGGGCACCCCCTTCCCCACCCCAAAAGTGGGAAATACATTTATTGCCTAAAATATGACCGATCGGATCACACAAGAGGGACGTACTGTTTTGTTCTTACTGACAAAATCCTATCAATATGTGGGGGTAATTCTTAAAAAGAAAATTAGTACCTAACAGTGATGTAGTGCCTTGATGCTGGGCCTTGGCCTTAAGGCTGCCTTAAGGCTGGATTTTAGGGCCTTGGTCTTGGCCTCGAGGCTTGAGGGCAAAAGCCTTGGACTTGGCCTTGGCCTTGAGGGTTCAGGGCCTTGCAAGGCTCTTGAGTCAAGGCTCTTCAAGGCCCATAGATATTTGCATTTTCCAGATAAATCTGTTCAAACTTTTGCTGTTACCATTATAATCGTATTACCATGGAGGAGGGAAGCACCCTATAGATTTGTGCGTTGGGCACACTTCCACTTTTGTAGCATCACATTTTGTTACCATTGTAGTAGATTTGCTGCAAAAATATTCCGTACACTTGTTGGGCTAATGAGATGATCACTTTAATTGCTTGTAACTATGGAATAGATCTGATAGTTTGTATACGTCTCCCTGATAAGTGCTAAAGATTTGCGTGTATCTGTTTTAGATAATGCTGATATTTCTGACCATGTTGGGCCAGCAAATAAAAACTTCCCAAATCAGTTTGTTGGATCCCCCTTTTGTTACACCTGGGAGAATTGTGTGTCAATATAGAAGTAAATTATTATTTTTTTAGTTAACCATATTTTGTTTTGTTAACCATATTGAAGACCTGAACTTATACTTTAATAGATACAGTGCAGTCATAAAACGGTGTAGGACTATTCGAGCATGTTGATTGTAATTAAAGAAATGTTTCTCTTTGTAACAAGCAATTCGTGATGATAAGGGCGGACCCAGGGGGGCCAAAAGGGGCCATGCCCCCCTCCCCCCCCCCCCCCAAAAAAGGAAACCACTTTTTTATGTGACGTCGTAATAAAGGCAGGCAATGAGTACACCACCATCTTTTCCTCAAAAGACATCGGTTAAAATGGTCAGAAATTGCCTCAAATCGCACCACAGAGCATCTCGAATCCAAAAAAAATTCGGGGCCCTTAAGCGGGCCCCAAAGCCCAAGCCGGAATTTGTTGACACACTTTTTTAGGAGGGACCAAAATTTGTTTGCCTCCCCCCCCCCAAAAAAATACGTTCTGGATCCGCCCTTGCGTGATGATGTGTCACTCATGTGACTATAATTAGTTCTATATCTGTGGTCATTTCATAAAACAGGGCCTTGGCCTTGGCCTTGAGGGTTAGCCTTGGCCTTGGCCTCGAGGCTTGAGGGCCAAAGCCTTGGCCTTGAGGGTCAAAGCCTTTGCCTTGGCCTTGAGGGTCAAAGCCTTTGCTCCAACACTGGTACCAAACCCTCAGTTTATCATGCTTAATTATTTATTATTCAAAGCAACACGCTATTTAAAGGGAAACAAATCGTTAAGTGCAAATTGTCCCCCCCCCCTCCCGGAACTGGAATACTTCTACTGATTACATGTTATAACGGCCAGCTTCTCGGCAATACTGCACTCTGTACTGCGTAACGACAAGGCCTCATCAAATCGGGCAACATTTCATCTCCTTTCTACCTGATACCAGACTTGGTGAACTTACCTCATCCACTTCACATTATTCAGAGGAGAGATATCCACATTTTGCTGATCAAGACTGCGTGATGGGGACCGAATAAAGGAAGAAACAGTCGTGGGAAAATCAGAGAATCGTACGCTGCGTACCGATTTGCAACCAGTTTCATACTTCCGCATACCGATTTGCAGGGTGACCGTACGGTCATGGCCAAATTCTGCTAAATGCACTTTAAATATCTGTCAGATTCATCAAAAATCTGCCAAATTCCCAAGAATTACTCGAAATACACTATACACACTTAAACTCACATGCAGATGTTGCAGTATGGCCTTAATTAAAGTTTAAATTACATTATAAACAATCTATAGTCAAGATGTTATAAAATTGCATAAGTCAGGCAAGATGAGGTTACAACACGACGAAGTCCGGTTCCCAGTGCACCTCAGTACCTAGACTAGGCAACCTGTCCCCCTCGAAGGGTTTGTTTGAAAAGATTGAAGCTTTTTTATTTGCTATGTTTTTCTGTCAATTAACCATTTTGCAGAATTCTGCCAGAAATCTGCCCAAAAAATCCATTCTGTCAAATTTTCTGTCAAACTCTTTGGCTAATTTTTGTCAAAGTTAGCCAAAAATCTGCTGAATCGGTCACCATGCCGATTTGGGAATTCCCCTTAACAGTGTGGACGCAACGTCACAGTGCGCATGCGCTGTGACGTCATTTCAATTAAACTGGTTCTCAGTCCCTTCATATCATCGATAACTTCAAATGTAGAATATCGGGTCGGGGGGGGGGGGACCTCCCGGTTTATGCTTAATTGATACACTGTGTGTAATGCAGGTCCTTCTTGTTTATCTGTATATTTTTATTGTGCTACCCTTTAAATGGACACTTTTCTGTGCAACATCGAATTAGGTCATATTACCCTGCGTGGGCATTGCCACATGCTACACCTTTTGGGGTCAGGGGTCAAAGCATGGTCTTAGGGACCCATTGTTTCAGTGCAGTTGCATGGACATGCAAAACTCGGCTCTTGTGTGGAAAAATTATCTAGCACGACTTGCTAGTCAACACATTTATTGTTCCAGTTTTGATGCTAGGTTAGCAAGTTATATGTTGGACAACATTTTACTATACATTCCTTGATGTTTTCTGTATGGTGTGATGACAAAATAAGCTCTGCAAAGTTGTAAGGTCTGTAAGATTTGTTCTACATTTTACCATGTCTATTCGTATTGACTCATTCACATTGATCACTTGACTTTGTATTGTTTCTAGATTGACCATTAATTGAGTTTACTTTTACGAAGTTATACTGCAAGTCAATAGCACTGAGACCACTGAGATACATGTAGATAACCGATTTCTTAGTGATTTAAAGTGATAATCTTAGTTAATGTTCATTGAGATTTCTACTGCTTGTTTGTGACACTTATATTGTGTATGCATGTTTAATTAATTGTTTAGATTATATTGCACAGCCCAGTTTATTATTGTTTCAGATTAAACCTCAATCCAACTCATCAACTCAACTACGACTCGAGTGTAAATAACTCCACGAGTTCACACCAATATATAAGCAGAAAGCGTTACACTGTGGACTCTATTTCTTTGTTCAATAAATTATAATAAATATGTCATGATAATTATACTATTTTATTTGAATAAATTTTTGTTAACAAGGTTTATTGTTGGCGTTGCTAGTGCTGTGACTTTCGGCGTGATCCCTGCTACAGGTTCCAACCCCGATCCAGTCATAATTCTGCTATCGTTTGTTTTATTATAATGCATCTAGTCAGTCTCCCAATGTGGTGGTGCACCCGATTCAACTAGCCACCGTTGTTAATAAGTGAGGCTTGAGGACGTTATACGCCATGTTATAAACATGACCGTTATATATTACCGTATCATGTAATACAAAGGGACACGTTAATAAACGAGGCATACATCGCATGCAGCTCAGGCGCGGGGGCGGGCCGCACGCCGCGGTACGTACGTACGCGCACCGTGCAAATATAATGTGCATGGGTCTGTCGATCGGTGGCGCTTTCCATCATGGCCGCTGTGAGCCTCTTTCGTACTGTGCTGATGATCGGGTTGTACATGCGAAAAAGCATGCAAAGCATTTCTAACAAAGACTAAAGTTATGAGAATGGACTTGGAGAGAATGGCATGAATTCATTCACTACTTTTTGGAAATGTGTAGCACCAGCAGTTGATGGTAGACGAGACGGGGAGTGTGGATTCGTACACTATAGTGTAACGTTTACGAAAACAGATCAACTCGTAACTTCTAGTCGTACATGAACACCGTACGCGGACCAACTCGTACGCGACCAACTCGTACACAGGACAACTCGTATGGGAAAGAATTTCATACTGGGCCACCACTGATATTCCTTAATATGACCTGAAATTTGTACCAAAACAGTTGTAAATCTGATGAAGAAACACTGCCCTAGGTCTAATTGAACCTTTTGTGTACTGGCCCAGTCCTAGACCCGTGGACGTCGGACGTGGCTTTTAAACTACAAGTACAACGCCACGTTCACGGGTCTAGCCCAGTCCCAGAAATCATGCAGGAGGTCTGAGTCTGAGAGGTGGCCCAGTATCATTCTTACCAAATGGCATGAATTTAATTTTGGCCAGTGTACGAGTTGGCTGGCGTACAACTAAGGGGCCTAGTAGTGAGTAGTACAAGTTTAGTTGGTTCACGTATAGCCCCATAAATGTGGCCTATTTACTGGACTGCCTCCGTAAACATAGGCCACACATCCACATGTACAAAATCGTGTCGATTTTGCCAAATTTTGATTTTCACATTTAGGCTTACTTTGTAGGTTTTTTTTGCTTGAGAAGCATTCTCACCCTCTATATATAGGCTAATCAGAAAGTGCTGCCTTTTTCAGATGTCTAATTTTTGTGAAATTTCATGTTGAAATTTTGATACGCAAACGTGTGCAAATGTATCTGGAAATTTCACGAAAAATGGACATCTGAAAAAGGCAGCACTTTCTGATTAGGCTATATAGAGGGTGAGAATGCTGCGCTTCTAAAGCAAAAAAAACCTACAAAGTAAGTCTAAATGTGAAAATCAAAATTTGGCAAAGTCGACACGTTTTTGTACATGTGGATGTGTGGCCTATGTTTACGGAGGCAGTCCAGTAAATACTAGGCCACATTTATGGGGCTAGTTCACGTACAGACGTAAGAGTTGTCTCGCTTGTCTTGCGTACGACGAGTTGGTTCAAGTACGACTACAAGTTGTCCTGTTGCCTTTATAATTTCAATGCAGTAGGCCTACTGCATCATGTTTGTTAGGGCAATTGTGTAGTGTAGGGTGCCTGTTTAGGTTTGATCAAATTAGAGGCAAGGATGTTTTGTTCTACTAAAAAATTACCTTTTTAAAGCATACATCATGTATCGTCAGACCCCCTAAAATGATGAGGATACAATGTATGTTTTGACGCACTCGCATTCAATTTGCGTTTGACAACACGCGTGCGTTGCAAGCATTTCTGCGTCAATTATGGTGACTCTCGAGAGCTACTTCTCTCAAAATAAGGGGTAGAAATTACAACGGTTGGTGTCGCATGATTCATCGCGCCTAACGCGTTATGGTACATTGCGCAGTGATTGCCATCTTTATTTTCGTGTTGCATTTTGTCGTCGTCATTGCCATTTTACTATCCAATTTCCCTCAACAATTCAAAACCCTGCCCTTTACGCCTAATCTGACATTCCTGTACGTTCTTAATGTCTCAAACTATATGTATGTCCAATACAATGTGGAATTTGTTCAGTGTTAGGCCAACCATAAAAAAAAGTTCTGCTTCTGGTTTCCCTACCTACATGTTCATGTACCCTATTCTGCCAGCCCCTACCCTATTTTTGTATGGGGAAAGTGAGGAAAAAAACACCCAAAATCATATTTTTCTTGATTACTCGCACATACATGCAGATGCCTCCATATATTCGTACACAAAAAAAATTGCACCAAAAAGGTCCCTACCTACATGTACATCTACCCTGTTTTCAAGTGCCATGTAATCAGAAGCAGAACTTGTTTTTTTTTTGGCCTTATATAAACCAGTACCGTAGTAGATACATGATCACCAATGTAATTACCAGCTTGTTCCCACATGTACGAGCTTGTTCCGGCTACCGCACATCGCGCGCGCCGCGACACACTAGTATACTGTTAGCCTCAACGACCCTTGCGTGTGCTTTGTGTGCGTGTATGTACCTCCCATACACACTTCCGCAAACAGCCGTACAGTAAATTGAGGCAGAGGAAAGCCTTGACGCAACCGTGGCAAATTCTATGTGTTTCTTTATTTTTTCGGCCGAATTCGGCCGAATATTTCTGATGCGCATATATTACACAATATCCAGTCAAAGCCCGTAAACTTGGACCCGCGACATACATATTCATGCCTTTTTTTCATGTAGCCTGCAAATTACTGTATACGCCACGAATGTTCACTCAAAAATAAATGTCCAGGTATTTCAATTTTCAATCCCATTTTAAACCATTTCTCCAGTTTCATTCCAAACAAATGAAATATGCCACTACATGAATGAACACTTGTTCAAAATGATGATATATTTCCAATGTATTGCGAATGGGACAGTCATACATGTAGCTGCCGACATTTATTGTCGGTGTAACAGCGTACATTATCACGCTGCTACCCCGTGACATTCTGCCTACAGCGAATGTAGGGAACAGGTCAATTCGGACCCAGGTCAAATTGTATTCATTTCATCGAATCATGCAGGAAAACTCATATCTATAAGTCATGTCACACCCGTATGAATTAACTGCAAGAAACAAGCTATTTAATATTGACTTTGGGATGGATACGAAACTGTCATACAGGGGCATGGTAAAAAAAATCTCTCTCTGAATTCGTACCATGTGCAACATATATCTTATACGTACGACATATGTATTTCACACGTACTTACGAATTGTATGTCGTACCATGAGAGAAGACTGTTTACCATAGCGCGTACTAATTATCATATTGGGCCTACACAGTTGCGTCAAGGCTATCCTCCGCCTCGACTTACTGTACGGCTGTTTGCGGAAATGTGTGTGGGAGGTACATACATGCACACAAAGCACACGCAAGGGTCATTGAGGCTAACAGTATACTAGTGTGTCGCGGTGCGCGCGGTGTGCGGTAGCCGGAACAAGCTCGTATGGGAACAAGCTGATAGCCTTGGTCAAGACTAATGTAATACTAGCCCAGTTTTATTACCATTACAGGCCTACACTAGCTACGTACGGCCACGTAATTGTATGTAGGTAAAAATGCCATTCTCCAGGCAATACACACAACCCCGAAATTGGTTCTTGCACAAATAGCAAAAGAATAACAAAAACTGCCCATTTTTATAGGATTCAATTATGGTTGTGTTTATTTATTTAGGCATACATACACTGTATATCAGATAAAAGTGACAAAAATACAAAAAAAAACAAGTGAAAACATAATGCAAGTGCAATAAGTTGCAATAGTATTTTCAAACATGTTTAATTTATGAAAAAAAGAAAGGTTTTGGAAAAACATGTATACATGTACATGTACATTCATTTAAATGACTCAACTACGTTATTTTAATAATTTGATGATGAAACTTTTCAAACTGTTTAATGTTTGCCTTTTTCACATGAGTAACACCTACATGTAGATCAGATAAAAGCTGGAAAAATAACACATACAAACAAGTAAACAAATAACGGCTTTATGTTGCAATAATATTTTCAAATACATTTAATTTTGAAGAAAAAAAGGTTCTGGAAAACATGTATACAGGACATTCATAGTAAGTGACTAAACTACGTTGATATCAATAATTTGATGAAGCTTTGCATAATCCATTACAAATCAGTTATATTTCATGAACCTGATCCACACTAAGCACGGATCGGGGGGGGGGGGGGGGGGGGGGGGGGGGGGTGGTTTTTGGGGATCAATCCCCCCCCCCCCCCCGACTCAAAAAGAACCTAATTTGTATAATTATAGTGACACAAATTTGGAACCCACCCCCCTCGCTCTGATACTAAAAATTAATGTATTAAAGTGTACACTATTAAGTGATACAGTGTGCATGATCGTATGTTTTCAACAGCACCTTTAATTCAAAATATTGCACCAGCCCCCCCCCCCTTCGATTTTGAATTGATTATTTGTGTTGACAACCAGCTTCCCCCCCCCCCCCCCCCCCCCCCCCCCCCCATTTTTACAGTTTTATGGAGGCCCAATGTTCGGTGAAAAAAACCTGCTATATTTCAGCACGTAAGTTATTCTGACGGATCTGAAGCGCCATACCTACACATGTATTAAGGTGGTCAAGGCGCTGAAACACAATAAATCCAATTTACTCAGAAAAAAACATAATACCAATAAAGAGAGAAAAATAGTACAAATTACAAATGATAAAATTACAAATGATAAAATAAACAACAGATATGTAGAAATGCAGCTGGTGCCTAGGTGCATTTCTCCCATATGAAGAACATGAATGTCAGCCTACATCACCAGGCATCTCCAATTGAGATGTACATGTATACATGAAGATGTGGCGAATGCACACTGATGCCCATGGGGCTCGTGATCGGAATGCACCTAGCTCAGACTGTACTGTTGTTCAAACATGGCATGCATTGGAACCAGCATGCAATGTCTCATACCAGCTGCGTAGCAGTTGCAGCTGTTCTTTTATTAGTATTTCATAGAAGGTATATTTAATATCGCCAGAGGTACAGATTACATTACACCTGTATGTCATTGAACATAAAAGAAAAGCAATTTAGCATTTAGGGGCACTTATTACTTTTCGTTGCATTTTATTTATTTAATAGTTTTGTTATTATTTGTTTTACACTGCACAAGCTACAAGCACCATATGATCCAAAACCTTTTTTCTTTTCTTTTTGGACTTAGACTGACTAACATTTTCTGAAGTTTGGTGAATTTGTGTCAATGAGCAATCTCTAGAAGTGAAAGACTTCTTAAACGATAATTATGACATGGATCAAGTTCTCTTTTTATCAAGAAAAAATAATGGTAGCTCCAGTTAACAATTCAATTCAAATGGGGGAAAAGGTTTTAAACTTAAATGAAAGAAAGGAAGTATCACTGAAAATACATTGTCTTGGCCCCCCCCCCCCTTTATCGTTTCTATTTCTTACTAAAGTTGCTACGCAGCTGGTATGAGACATTGCCTGCTGGTTCCCATGTCTGCTCAGTAAAACCTTCCATTTTACTAGGTAGTATATTTTGCACTTAGTTTTTTTCTTTCCGTCAAACACTCCACTTCATATTCATCTGAATCTGTGTATTAAAAGGGGAAAGAAAAGAGTTGCACATGAAGAGCCGCCATTTATGTTTGGCTTATGATTAAAGGGAATATACAACATTTGCAAACATCGAAAAACAAAACTACCAAATTCTTACGACATACCTTACATGTGTACTAGGATGTTGGTAAATGACAGTCTTAAGCATCCTGTAAAATTATGGCACCAGGTGTGAAGTCATTTTCCGGAAAAGTGGTATTTTTGTTATCATTTCCAACGGTGGTTGGCCGACTACCGTTGGAAAAACCTAACTATTTTTCCACTACTTTTTTTTTCAGTCAAAATTATGTTTGCTATTGGTTACATGTTTATGAACGGATGCAGGCCAGCTAGACTGGTTTCTTACATTACAATTTTCCAGCATCTATAAATTGATCCATTTCATCTTTAGTTGAGTCAGGGAACCAGACTACTTGAACACTTTTGTGTTTCTTGGTTTTTTCCAGCATTTTCGGACGCAAAATTTCAAACATGTAAGTTGAACAATATTTGATCTATTATACTAACCTCTCAAATAGTCAATTTCTGATAATTATAGCAAAAGCCAATGATGTACATTCCCTTTAAAAGAAATGCATACAGTTTTATAAACAACATTTGCTCTGGGTGTAATTTTTCAGAAATGGATAGATTTGGGGTTACTATTTTATTGTTACACTGACTTATTTGAAGTTTTGTGTTTGCAGATGCCAGAAAACCAGTAAAAACCATTGTTTTCTTGTAGTCTGCTTCCTGGACCCCACTGAAATTGAATTGGAGCAATTTATAGACATTATGGAATTGTAACTAGGTCAGGGGACCAGTCCAACTTACATGAACATACACCCGTTCATCAAAATTCAGACTAAACATAAATGGTAAATTGGGGGCAATATTCGAATAAAAAAAAAAAACTGGGTTGGCTGAACAGCATTGTAAATTGATACAAAATGCCACTTTTCTTGAAAATGTCAGCACACCAGGTGCCATGATTGTACATGATGCTTTAGACTCATTTTTTAACAGTCCAGCAACTTGTTCCATAATAATTAGGTAATTCTTTTTCTTTTTTGATGTTTGCAATGCTCAATCGGTTCTTAATCAGATGTTTAATATGCACCTATAAAGTTTGTTTCTATATCATCTGCAATCCAAACAACTGTGCAATGTTCTACAGTACCCCGTGTGGTTCATTACAGTAAGCTTTTTACGTTGACAGTAATATTAAAAACCATTACTTTCCAATTCAACTTGTACTGTATAACACAAAGCAATTTCAAACCAACCCAAGATATATTACATAAAAAAGCGGGATTGTAAGCATACCTGTGGCATTTTGCTCAACCATGTGTTGAAGCAATGTCAAGTCACTTGGTGTTTCTACATGCACATCTGTTGGAGACAACAAAATTGTGACAAACTCGAAGTAATAATAAAAATAATAATAATAAATTAAAATTTATATTGCGTGGTCTACATAAAAATGATCGAAGGCGCATTACATAAAATACCACGGAAATTACATTAAAAAAAACAAGAAATAAAATGAGGTACAACTTATGTTAAAAGAGGGGTAAACTACTGGAAATACAATCAAGTAATTGATAGAGCAAATTTCACAACTCAATTAAATCACAAGTCAATCTATTAGAATCTGTCTTAGCTTATTATGTATTGTAAATTTCTAATGACACTTCTCTGACATCATTTAATCTATGATACAACACCTCAAATGTCATATCTGAACACAAATTAGAAAATGAACATGTACATCAGGGTATTTGCTTTGTGAGTTTCACTATACAGGGTGGATAAAAAAACGAAACAGAGATATTTTTTGCTAATTGGAAGAGAAGTAGGGCACATATGAATCAAAGGGAGATATCCTCTGTTAGGTTAATCTCCTCTTTAAAATGACACCCTGCTCATGTTATAACATTCACGGTTGACTGAGCAGTGACCAATTTTGTGAAAGGGTCTATTTGGAGAATTGCGCCACTTTTCGATTGTGGTTTATGTGGTGTCATTTGGCAGGCTATGGTTGCAAATCAAGACAGGTGGGAACAAAAACAGATTTCACCATGAAAAGTGGCGGAACTCTCTAAATAGGCCCTTTCATAAAATTGGTGATAATGTCAAAAACATAGGCCTACTTACTGCTGTTTGTTGGTTGAGCATTAAGCTGGCCAGATGGGCCATCATCCAATGTGGAGGGAGGCTGGGCAGACACTAGTATTAAAAAAGAACAAAGATGTAAAGATTGGATTATTCAGTGTAACACTTTTACACAAGACAAATTCGTTCCACAAGTCCATTTTGTGGTCAAGCACGTGCTGATTGGCAGGGCTCATTCATTCACGATTCTATATGAGCCTGTAGTCAGCAAGAATTGGATGTGTTTTGCTTCAACCTAAACGGATCTGTTTTATTATTTTACATGAGTGTAATTGTCAATAATCCAACATTAAAGAGCAATTCAAATGTCCTTGCATGTACTCTCAAATTTAGGACTAAGAACAAAGCAAATGAAGGCTTGACTGTTAAACTCAATTCAAATGCAGCAACTCAAGTCGACAACATTGAACAAAATCCTCTGTTCAACGCATTTCACTTACTCTCAGTTTGGCCACTTCTGCAACATTGGTTTAGATCAAAAGTTGACCATTGCTCCAAAAATGGACTTTCAAAGTACTTGGAGTTTACTAAAAAACAAAAACCACATAGTATCCACAATCCTTTGCTGATATGCACTGAGCTGGAGTAATGTTTTACACATCACAAAAACAAAGGCCTACTTACTGCTGTTTGTTGTTGAGCATTAAGCTGGCCAGATGGGCCATCATCCAATGTGGAGGGAGGCTGGGCAGACACTAGTATTAAAAAAGAACAAAGATGTAAAGATTGATTATTCAGTGTAACACTTTTACACAAGACAAATTCGTTCCACAAGTCCATTTTGTGGTCAAGCACGTGCTGATTGGCAGGGCTCATTCATTCACGATTCTATATGAGCTGTAGTCAGCAAGAATTGGATGTGTTTGCTTCAACTTAAACGGATCTGTTTTATTATTTACATGAGTGTAATTGTCATAATCCAACATTAAAGAGCAATTCAAATGTCCTTGCATGTACTCTCAAATTCAGGACTAAGAACAAAGCAAATGAAGGCTTGACTGTTAAACTCAATTCAAATGCAGCAACTCAAGTCGACAACATTGAACAAAATCATCCGTTCAACGCATTTCACTTACTCTTAGTTTGGCCACTTCTGCAAACATTTGGTTTAGATCAAAAGTTGACCATTGCTCCAAAAATGGACTTTCAAAGTACTAAAAAATAAAAACCACACATAGTATCCACAATCCTTTTGCTGATATGCACTGAGCTGAAGAAATGTTTCAGAGTTGTAACGAGTCACTGATTTTTGTGACTCGAGTCGAGTCGAGTCATTTTAAAGAAGTGACTCGAGTCGAGTCATTTTAAAGAAGTGACTCGAGTCGAGTCGAGTCATTTTAAAGAAGTGACTCGAGTCGAGTCGTGTCATTAGGTCCAAAGGTTGAGTCGAGTCGAGTCGAGTCAAATATTTAGCTCGAGTCATTTCGAGTCACGAATATTTGAACACTATATTACCCAAATTATAAAAGGAGGCCATAAGTTTAGCCAGCGTTCGAATCCAGGAACTTCATAAGAAATCGCCTAAAGCCATGATGAAAACAGCGAATAAGAAAATGTGTTAAAAAATCTGGTTCCTGGATAGTATTTTGTGCGTTCTAGAACATGAGGTGGGAGTCTGTGACACGTATATTTATACATGACTGCTCTTCGCAAAGCGAAGTGAGCATCAATTTTGCATCGTAAGTCATTGCAAATACTTTTCACAAAGTTGTGCTTTTATTTTTGGGATTCGAGTCTATTAGCCTTCGCTCGAGTCAGTCGAGTCATTCTGATGAGGGACTCGAGTCGAGTCGAGTCATTGCTCGCAGTGACTCGAGTGTGACTCGAGTCGAGTCAGTCATTTACCCTTAGGGACTCGAGTCGGGTCGAGTCCCAAAAATTGTGACTCGAGTCGGACTTGAGTCGAGTCATTACAACTCTGGAATGTTTTACACATGTATCACCAAAACATAGGCCTACTTACTGCTGTTTTTGGTTGAGCATTAAGCTGGCCAGATGGCCATCATCCAATGTGGAGGGAGGCTGGGCAGACACTAGTATTAAAAAAGAACAAAGATGTAAAGATTTGATTATTCAGTGCAACACTTTTACACAAGACAAATTCGTTACCACAAGTCCATTTTGTGGCCAGCAAGATTGGATGTGTTTTGCTTCAACCTATTAACGGATCTGTTTTATTATTTACATGAGTGTAATTGTCAATAATCCAACATTAAAGAGCAATTCAAATGTCCTTGCATGTACTCTCAATTCAGTACTAAGAACAAAGCAAATGAAGGCTTGAATGTTAAACTCAATTCAAATGCAGCAACTCAAGTCGACAACATTGAACAAAATCATCCGTTCAACGCATTTCATTTACTCTCAGTTTTGGCCACTTCTGCAACATTTGGTTTAGATCAAAAGTTGACCATTTCTCCAAAATGAACTTTCAAAGTACTTGGAGTTTACTAAAAAGACAAAAACCACACACAGTATCCACAATCCTTTTGCTGATATGCACTGAGCTGGAGTAATGTTTTACACATCACAAAAACAAAGGCCTACTTACTGCTGTTTGTTGGGTTGAGCATTAAGCTGGCCAGATGGGCCATCATCCAATGTGGAGGGAGGCTGGGCAGACACTAGTATTAAAAAAGAACAAAGATGTAAAGATTGGATTATTCAGTGTAACACTTTTACACAAGACAAATTCGTTCCACAAGTCCATTTTGTGGTCAAGCACGTGCTGATTGGCAGGGCTCATTCATTCACGATTCTATATGAGCCTGTAGTCAGCAAGAATTGGATGTGTTTTGCTTCAACCTAAACGGATCTGTTTTATTATTTACATGAGTGTAATTGTCAATAATCCAACATTAAAGAGCAATTCAAATGTCCTTGCATGTACTCTCAAATTTAGGACTAAGAACAAGCAAATGAAGGCTTGACTGTTAAACTCAATTCAAATGCAGCAACTCAAGTCGACAACATTGAACAAAATCCTCTGTTCAAACGCATTTCACTTACTCTCAGTTTTGGCCACTTCTGCAACATTTGGTTTAGATCAAAAGTTGACCATTGCTCCAAAAATGGACTTTCAAAGTACTTGGAGTTTACTAAAAAAACAAAAACCAACACATAGTATCCACAATCCTTTTGCTGATATGAGCTCAAAGAAATATTCCACGTCACAAAAACATAGGCCTACTTACTGCTGTTTGTTGGTTGAGCATTAGCTGGCCAGATGGGCCATCATCCAACGTGGAGGGAGGCTGGGCAGACACTAGTATTAAAAAAGAACAAAGATGTAAAGATTTGATTATTCAGTGATTGTTTTCATTTGAAGCACATTTCGGGTTGAAGCACATTACAATGTAAATGTGCATAAATGCAGTGGGGCACACAGGATTTGGCAGGAGGGAGGGGGGGGGCCTCACTTTTCGAAAATAGGCCACTTAGTTCATGTATCACCAGAATCAAATCTTGGGACTAATAATTATAAAACTGACAACCTCGAGGGGGGGAGGGGTTTCACTGCTTACATGTATTGCAATTGCATTGCACATTCACCTATGTTACATGCACTAAAACAAGACAAGTTCTATCTGGTTCATTCGTGTGATGTCACCTCAGTATAAATCATGCCCACTTCACGTTGTTAAGTAGCATTGGAACTGGAAGTTAACGCAACTTGAGTGTTCATGTAATAGTAGCAATCGGAAGTGTGCGCACATGTATGACGTTTTTTACTGAAGAACTGGTTATTTAGCTTTCGGTCAGAAAGTATGGGATATTTTGAAATGAGCTTCACAAACAAGCATGATGAAAGTACATCTAAAGAGAGAGATGTGTTTTCACCTGTGAATTTGATAGGATGGTTCTGCCTCAATGATTTTTTGAGGGCCTCTCTCCCATAGGCCCCAGGCCTCTTCAAGGGCATCGGCAGCCCTGTGCATTCTATCTGCCCAGCCTCCAGCAGTTGGTAGCTCATCTGGCTCTTTTTTGCCCAATGTTGCATCCCCTGTAGTATTAAAGAAAACATTTTTTTTTGTCATATAATATAAGGCCAAAAAAAAAGTCGCCGTAGC